GTAATACACTGTAAAGTTATATGTAATCCAATGTAATATAAAAAAGATTATGATGATAGTAAAAATAAAAAAAGAATCTAAAAAAACAAAAAAAATAATTAATCTATAAGATAAATTTAACAAAATCAGATAAATTTAACAAAATCAGTAGATTGGTTCTTATGGAAGTCATTAATGCAGGCTGTTTAGTAAGAGAGGCTGATTTTTCATTCCTGGCCGTCATTCCATAAAATAAATAAATAAATAAATAAATAAATAAATAAAATTTAAAAAAAAAAGGCAAGCTGCTCGGTCTAGGACTTGAACCACAATAAACCACTTGAGTATCCTGGACCTTAACCACCATGCCACCTGCTGGCCCTGAGTCAATTATTTTAAAAAATTTTGCTAAAAGGTGCATGTGCTCACTGGAAGAGTAGAGGAGTAAGAAAGCACTGCCCAAGGAAGATGGCCCTGTTGCAATCTCCTCTTTTTTTATTTTTTTTAATCTTTTCATGATTTTGGGCACACACACACGTGCACATGGGCATGGCATATTTTCCAAGCCACTGGTTCAGGGACTCAACCTTGCAGTTGGCCATGTGGGATACAGCTGTGCTAACCACTACCCCTCTGGTTGGCCCTAATTCATATTTTAAAGTTTTCTAAAGAAAATACCCTGCTTGACCCAGCTGCGATGGCGCAGTGGTGGTGCACCACTTGACAGTGCCGGAAGCCATCTGGAAGATTGGGGTTTGGTTTCTGGTCGACTTGGACATGTGGGGTGTGCAGGTACATGCCCACCATGATCCTAGCTTGCTGCAAAGCTGAAACAAAGATCACAGTATGAGACCCTATTGAGGGTGTCTGTCTTTCTCTTTGGAAAGAAAGAAACCTTAAAAACAAAAGAAAACAAATAAACAAAAAGCACAACCCTGCTCATATGATTTTTACTGATAATTCTTTCATTCCAATTTTACATGAATTTTTTTAGATAATTAAATAAAATAGGGACCAGGACCAGCAGTTGGCGTGGTGGTTAAGGAGCTGGACACTCCCATGTGGCCTACCGCAGTTTGAGTCCTGGACCTGGTGGCTCACTTTCTCACTTTCCCTCTCTCTTTCTCTCTCTGTGTGTCTCTCTCTGGTCAAATTAAAAAAAAAAAAAAAAAGAATAAATAAAACTTAAATAGATAAGTCTTAAAAAAAAAAGGGACCATCTTAACTCAATTTACAAGGTTAATGTTACTTTAATATTAAAGTCAGACAAGAAAAATAGAAAAGAAAATCAGTTACATGGTAATTACTCATCAACTTGTTTTTAAGAACTACAAATTAAAATTTTATTAATTATTATTATTATTTAAAATTTGCTATAGGGCATGTACACTCACCACACACACACACACACACAGAGAGAGAGAGAAAAAGAGAGAGAGAGAGAGAGAGAGAGAGAAAGCCTTCAAGTCTGGAATTTGAACCACATTTGGCCATGAGGGAGTCCAGCACCTTAACCACCATACTACCTGCTGGCCCACTCATGAACATTTTTTCAAAAATCTTAAGATATTGATAAATCAAATACTACAACATAAAAGCCTGGCAAGACAAATCTCTATGGTTAGATGCCAGGACAGTGATTACTGTAGGCCAAAGTAATAGTAATTGAAAGAAAGGGTGAAAGAGCAGCTTTTGGGGTCCTGGTATACTATTTCCTGATTACATTAGTATGTTTTACTTCGTGAAAGTTCATTCAGCCAGGCACACATGTATGCACCTTTCTGTACGTACACTCCCATGACAAGTTTACCTTAAAAACGGCACAGTGCAAGTCCAGCTGCGGAGGCATATGCTGCTAAGACAATGTACTCCGCAGGCCAGGCCCTCATGAGAGGCTCAGGTTTGATTACCACTTCAACCTAAACGCCAGGCATTCTCGTGCATTCCAGTAACCCCCATGACTCAGAGGCTAGAGCAGGAGGATCGTGAGCTTGAGGGGAGCATAGGGAGACCCCGTCTGAAACAGAGCCAGATGTAGTAGCCCATGCCTGTAATCCTGGCTGAGGCTGAGGCTGAGGCTGAGGCTGAGGCAGGAGGATCATAATATAGAGAGACCGTGTCTTTAAAAAAATAGTAATAGGGACCAGCAGTTAGCATAATGGCTATGTCACTGATCTCCCACATGGTTGACCGCGGTTCAAGTCCCGGACCCGGTGGCTTGGACGCCCTCTCTCTCTCTCATGCCAGGCGCGTGTACGTGCGTGCCCAAGATCCTGAGAGGAGAACGGAGGAGAAGGGATTGCAGTGTGGCCATCCCCCCGGGGGGTGATTTCTCGCTTTCTGTCTCTCTGTCTCTCTCTGTCTTTCTGGCAAGCGCACGCCCCCTATAACAAAAAAACCTCTTAAAAAATAGTAATATAAATAATATGATAAATATATCATAATCAACTGGGGTTTATCTTAGGAATGCAGCGGTGCACTAACAGTAGAAAAAAAATCTGTAAATATTATTCACCATATTATATATGAAAGAGAAATTCCTTACAGTGTTCGTAGCTGCAAAATTTGATAAAATTCCATGTGATAGGCCTGGCTCTGCAACACAGCAGTTGAGCGCTTGCAGAGAGCTGCATCTCACATAGCTGACCCCAGTTTGAATCCTGGCCCCAGTGGCTTGAAGAATATGACAGGTGCATGTGCATGCATGTCCAAAATCCAATGGGATGCAGAAATGGAGTAAAAAAGGATTGTGGTGTGACCATGCCCCGATTGGGGGACAGTGCTTTCTCTCTGTCCTTCTCTGGTGAGCATACACACCCTCTGGCACTAAAAAAGAGAGAAGAAAAAAATTCTACATGATAAAAATCTTAGCAAATGAGGAAGAGAAAGGAGTATCCTTAAACTGATAGGATTAAAGCAGTGTGGCAGAGACAGAGTTTAGCAAGTATTCCACAAGTTTCTTGACATTTCCCAGTCTGCTTTACAGTTAGATTGGGGACAAATGACTAGCTCTGTCCAATAGACTGTGAGTGGGAGTGACATGTGTCACGTGTAGGTGAAGGCAGTTGAGCCGATGTTCCTCCTCCATCCCTCTCTTCTCTTGCTCCAGTGACCTTGGAGGCTGTGTATTGCAGATGGCATAGATTAAAGATGGAGTAAGGATGCTTCACTCTCATCAGACTTTGCGTAAGCAAGAAATAAACCCTTATAGTGTTAAGCCTCTAAGATTGCTGAGTGTATGTGTTGCAACAGCGTAGCCTGTCTTATTCTAACTAATATAAGGACATCTCCCAAAAAACTACAGCAGCTTTCGTGTCCAGTGGTGAAAAGTTGTAATCACTCTTTGTAAAATTAGGAATAAGAACGCAGACAGCTGCAGTTTCTGCCAGTATTTACCTAGTGCAGTGAAACAAGTAAGGATCGAAGGGAGAAAACAAAACATTTATTATTTGGAGATAACTTGGTTTTCTGTATTGTAAACCCTATCTATAAGTAAATAAGTTGTTAAAAATTAGTTGCATTGCTGCATGCCAACAACAAAAAAGTTAGGAAACTTATTTTTTATAAAGGTACCTTTCACAGTTTTATTATAAACTCTATGGTACCTAGGAATAAATCTAGCTAAAGCAATGTAAGACTTTTATGGAGAAAATTATTGAAGGGCCTGAAAGGAGGCCTACATACTTGGAGATAAAGACTCAATAACATAACGATTTCATTTCTCCCAGTTTAATCTCTAGAGTTAATGAAATTCTCGTCAGGATTCCAGTAGGAATTCTTAAGCAACTGTTGAGATGATTTTTAAGTATGTATAGAAGAGAGTAGGGCCAAGAGTGGCTAAGTCACTCCTGTAGTAGAACAGGATGAAGACGCATGTCGTAAGATGTATTCTGAGGTTTTAGTAAGTCAGAGTGATAATGGCTCAAGACTGACAGGCTGTCCAGTGGAACAGAAATAAGTATCCAGAAATAAGACTCCTACATGTATGAAAATTGGACATTTGACATAGCAGATTTCATATTAATGAAAAAAAAAAGGATGCCTTTTTCAATGAATGATGCTAGGACAATTATTTAGTGGGAGGGAGAAGTAATATGTATTTAACCAGTTTTTGTAATCAGCCTCTGGTTGAGTTTTATGTTGTTTAAAACTAATATGTATAGAGAATCTGCTCTTATTTTTTTTTTAAAGTAACCCCCAAAAAATGACAGCGTAAGAAAAATATTTTGGATATGATGATAGGTACAATGTCTTTATCTTAATGTACGAAGAACTCTTAAAAATTAGTAAGAAAAAGAATGAAAGTTTATCATTTTGCTTTTTTGGCTTTATTTAACTGATATTGTAAAACTTTTCCTCAACCAGCAGCTGCGGCATTGTGTGGGTTTATAAAAGGTAAAGGACTTACTTGTCTTTTATACTTAAAGCATGTCCCAGGTGGATGTGGATTCAGGAATTGAAAATATGGAGGTTGATGAAAGTGATCGAAGAGAAAAAAGGAGCCTCAGTGATAAGGTTGGTAAGAGATTAAATCCTTGCTTCAGTTTTTAGTACAGGTAATGTAAATAAACACTATTTCATGTCTTAAATCTATAGCATGTTAGGATGGGCCTCTCCAAATTAGCAAATTCTATACAGGTGATTTCTTTCCTTTTTTAAGAAAAATGGTGGCATGGTGGTTAAGTCGCTGGACTCCCACATAGCCAATCTCAGTCTGAGTCCTGGATCTGGAGGCTTGCTTTCTCATTCTCCCTTTCTCTCTCTGTCTTTCACTGGTCAAATTAAAAATACTACTAATACAATGAAATAAATAAATCTTTTTTTTAAAAAAGAAAAATGTGTAGCCGGAATTGCCCTTATTAAGGTAAGTATAACAGTTCTTTTATCTATAAAATTCTTCAGTTATCTTTTGTTCAAGTTCATGTTTTGATCAGTAAATTTAGTTTGTAGTAGGAATTCATTTAGAGCTAACTAGAATTTTTTTCTGTTGGTCTTTGCCTTCAGCAGCTAGATTGTTGTTATATATTTGGCAGTGTCCTGAGGAGAATAGCAGGGGACTGAAACAAGAATATGTAAATGTTAGGTTGTTTGGAAAGTCATGACGTGTTTTTCTATACAAAAATGCTATCATGACTTTCTTTTTTATTTTTTTAAAGAATTATTTAACTTTATTTATTATTATTATCATTATTTTCCATTTTGATCAGAGAGAGAGAGAAGAAGTGAGAAAGCAAGCCACCAGGTCTGAGACTTGAACCGTGGTTGGCCATGTGGGAGTCTAGCGCCCCTATCCACCATGCTACCTGCTGGCCCCTGCATCATGACTTTCTACGACCCAATACATTGTTAAGTAAACATTTTTAAAACAGGACCATATATATATATTTTTTTCCGTTAGAGATTTTTGCCTTATGGCATGTGCACTTGCTGAAGAGAGAGAAACGAGACAGTGACAAGGAAATTGAGAAATCACCCCATGGGAGGGATGGCCACACCGCAATTCCTTCTCCATTCTCCTCCCCAAATCTTGGGCATACATGCACATGTTCCCAGAGTGATTTTCAAGCCACCGGTCCAGGCCTTGAGCCTACAGTTGGCCATGTGGAAGTCCAGCAACATAACCACTATGCCATCTGCTGGCCCTAGGAGGATGTCATATTTTATTATCATCCAAACTTAGTTTCCTGTATTTGGGTTTTTTAATTTTTTTCTGTTTTGTTGTTGATGTCATGATATAGGTAATTACATCACTTTCTATTCAGTAAATTTTAGGAGTCCTTTGGTAACTCATTTTGATGATTAGAGGTTGGGCTGTAGCCTTTTAGTGATACAACACTTTTCTTGTATAGTTCTTTTTTTTTTTTGGAGAGATTTTCACTGTAGGGCGTGTGCGCTCGCCAGACAGACAGAGAGAGGCATAGAGACAGAAAGCGAGAAATCACCCCCCAGGGGGGATGGTCACACCGCAATCCCTTCTCCTCCATTCTCCTCTCGGGATCTTGGGCACGCACGCACACACGCCCGGCGTGAGTTTTAAGCCACCGGGTCCGCGACACGAACCGCGGTCGACTACGTGGGAGTCCAGCGACATAGCCATTACACTAACTGCTGGTTCCCTACTTGTATAGTTCTTTCATGTTTACAAAGTTCTTTCCATATGGTATTTTATCTGTGGTGGAATGTAATAAGAAACATTAAATTGTGGAAAAATCCCTAGAGGAAAATTGGTTATGTACCTGGCTATAATATATAATATCTATATGTAGATATTATATATTATACAATATATACAACAGTATATATTCTATATAGATATATATTCTATATATATATTATATATATAGATAAACAGATATTATATATATATGTGTGTGTGTGTGTGTGTGTGTGTGTGTACACAACTTTTTTTATTACATTTCTTCCTTGACGTTTCTTGTTAATGTCCTTGCTCTTTTGTGCTTCCACAAAGATCCTATTTTAAACTCTTGAGACCCCGGTGTTGTAACTTCACAATGACAGTTTTCTCCTAATCAGTGGGCAAATGGCGTTACGCATTATAAAAATATTCTAATTAATAAGTGTATTAAGTCAGAATAAGCTATTTTTGTTGATACCATATTTGAAATTAACTCCTAAATCTTCTTCCTCACCAGGAGCCTTCCTGCGGTCCTGAAGTGTCTGAAGAGCAGGCCTTACAGCTGGTCTGTAAGATCTTCCGTGTCTCTTGGAAGGACCGGGACAGAGATGTCATCTTTCTTTCTTCTCTTTCTGCACAGTTTAAGCAGAACCCAAAAGAAGGTGGGAATCTTAGCTTAGCAGTCTAACTTTAGAGTATGTACAAGAAAATAGAATGTAAGGTGTTTGGTCCTTCTCTATTAACCACATTCAATCTATCTTGCTTTTAGGTTGTTTTGTTTTAGGTTTTTGCCATAGGGCACATGCACTTGCTAGAGAGAAACAAAGAGAGAGCCCTTAAGAGGAAAAGTGAGAGATCATCCCCCAGGGGTTATCGCCATACCACAATCCATTCTCCTCTGGGGTTTTGGCCACGCATGCCCATATACCATGCCTTTCAAGCTGCTAGGTCTAAGACTCAAACTGTGTTGGCCATGTGGGAGTTCATCTCTTTAACTACCACACCACCTGTTGGGCCCTGCTTTTGGGTTGTATTTTTGATTAGAGAGAGATTCTAGGTGAGAATAATGCTGTTTGTCCATTTCCTTCCTTTATAACTGATCTTACTACTAATATTTTTTTTAAATTTTTTTGTATTTCTTTTTTTTTTCTTTTTTTTTTTTTTTGGTAGAGGCTTTTACCTTAGCGTATGTGTGTTTGCCAGAGAGAGAGAGACAGTGAGAGGGAAAGTGAGAAATCAGCCCCAGTGGGAATGGCCACACCACAATCCCTTCTCCTCCATTCTTCCCCTGGGATCTTAGACCTGCAGGCACATACGCCTGATGTGAATTTCAAGCCACTGGGTGAGACTCGAACTATGGTCAGCCATGAGGGAATCCAGCAACATTACCATTGTGCTATCTGTTGGTGCACTTTTCATGATTTCTACAAAAACCAAAAACCTATATAAATAAACTAATGGTCTCCATTGTCCCAGGATTGAAATTTTTCTCTTTGCAGTTAGAAGGTGCTTAGAGAAAGCATTAGCTCCTTTTATAAAGTATACTGGGTGGTCACCAGGGATCTTGAGAGGTGCCTTAGAAGACCTATACCTGCATTAAGTGCCTACTGAGCCATTTGTGCACAGGGGAATAAATCTGTTTGATTACATTGCTTTGCATGACAGAACATAATGGTATTTTTCTGCTTTTCTAGTACTATGTTTTAAGAAGCTATGCTAAACCATGCTTATAACAAAATAATGAAACTCTTACCAAGATACCAGCATTATAGAATACTATAATTTTTCTTTACAAGAGTCATTTGAGGGAACCAGCAGTTAGTGTAATGGCTATGTTACTGGACTCCCATGTAGTTGACTGTGATTTGAGCCCTGGACCCTGTGGCTTAAAACTCAAGCTGGGCGCGTGTGCATGTGTGCCCAAGATCCCGAGAGGAGAATGGAGGAGAAGGGATTGCGGCGTGACCATCCCCCCCTAGGGTGTGATTTCTCGCTTTCTGTCTCTATCTCTCTCTGTCTATCTGGCGAGCGTACGCACCCTATAGCAAAAACCTCTCCAAAAAGAAAGAGTCATTTGAAATACAGAAGAGATAGGAGAAGTATAATGGATTTTTTTTCTCCGCAAATAATGGGACTATAGCCTCCTTGAGGTGGAGGTTTTTTTTGTTTGTTTGTTTGTTTTAAAGAATTGGTACTTTTTTTTAAAGAATGATTACATTTTATTTAGTATTATTTTTAAAAAGAATTATTGGGACCAGCAGATGATGTAGTCCATGTGGCTGGACTCCCATGTAGTCAACTGTGGTTCACTCTTAAAAATCATGCTGGGCTTGTGTGCATGTATGCCCAAAATTCTGAGAGGAGACTGGAGAAGGAATTGCGGCATGGCCATCCCCCACCACCCCCGGGGGTGGTGATTTATCTCTTTCTCTGTCTCTTGGGTGAGTGCATGTGCCCTATAGCAAAAATCTCTCTTTTAAAAAAAATTATTTATTTAGTTCCATTTGTTGTTATTATTATTATTTAATTTGACCAGAAAGGGAGGGAAAGGGAAAGGGAGAAAGCAAGCTGCTAGGTCCAGGACTTGAACTGTTGTCGACCATGTGGGAATCCAGTGCCTTTAACCACCATGCCACCTGCTGGCCCCTAGTCCGTGACTCAAATCACAGTGAGCCATGTGGGAGTCCAGTGTCTTAACTACTACACCACCTGCTGGCCCCTAGGGGGGATTTGTGTCTATTTTGCCTACTGATGTATCCACTTTGCCTAAGGAGGATGTCTTGCACAAAACATCACTCGGCAAGTGTATTTTAAGTGGATGAATGATTATCAAAGAGATTTTATTTCCCTTTACTATGCTGCCTATTTCCCAGGGAGGGAAAAACGTCCTCTATGTTCCTGGAGAATGGAAAGGCTATTTTTTATTTTACTGGCATCTTTTTATTAACTCTGTTTATAGAGATGAGCTTGGCAACTATGTGGTTTTTTGTTTGTTTGTTTTTTAAAGAATTACTCTATTTTAACTTTATCTATTATTATTTTCCAATTTAACCAGAGAGAGAGAGAGAGAGGGTAAGAAAGGAAGCCATCAGGTCTGAGACTTGAACCATGGTTGGCCATGTGGGAGTCCAGCATCCCCAACCACCATGCCACCTGCCAGCCCCGGCAACTATATGTTTTAAAACTTTGCCACTTGTTGGGACCAGCAGATGGTATAATGGTTACGTTGCTGGACTCCACGTTGTCAACCGTCGTTCGAGTCCCAGGCCTGGACTTAAAACTCACGTCGGGCACCTGTGCATGCATGCCCAAGATCCTGAGAGGATAATGGAGGAGAAGGGATTGCGGAATAGCCTTTCCCCTGGAGGGTGATTTTTTGCTTTCTGTCTCTCTGTCTGTCTCTGTCACTCTGGCGAGTGCACATGTACCTATAGCAAAAATCTCTTTAAAAACAAAGAAACAACAACAAAAAAAACCCTTGACACTTGTTATTCTTATTGTAATCTTCCCCCCACCCCAAGAGGTTTTTGCCCTAGGGAACATATCTTTGCCAGAGAGAGAGAAAGAGACAGTGAGAGGAAAAGTGAGAAATCACCCGCAGGAGGATGACCATGCCACATGTCTGGCCCCTGATTTGGTTATTAATAATTATCACTTATATACGTGAGATTTCAGAATCTTAAGATTTACGGTAAGGGACCAGCAGATGGCATAGTGGTTAAGGGTGCTGGATTCCCATGTGGCCAACCACGGTTCCAGTCCTGGACCTGTCAGCTTGCTTTCTCACTTCCCCTCTTTCTCTTTCTCTCTCTCTTGCTCTCAGACTCTCTCTGTCCCTCTCTGGTCAAATTAAAATAAGTAAATAAATCACTAAAAGTAAATAAAATAATTATTAAAAAATAACCAAATCAGATAAAATTTACATAGGTTAGAACTTTCATTTGTTAATGATATTTAAAATAGATCTAAAGATCAACAGTAAATCAGTTGGGAACAGCAAAGAATAAGAAGGAAGCTAGACTGTAGAATTTGCCCCAGAAGCCAGAGAGTAAGTAAATTTTGGGCCCTTCATAAAATCTTTTGAACCTTGGACTTAATAGTTATACTGTATATCAAGTGTATAGACTGAAAAATCCTATCCTAGTTGAATTTGTAGTGTGATAAGCTAACCTGTATAGCTGGGAGTAGCTTCATTCGTTCGTTCTTGCTTTTTTTTTTCTTTTTTCTTTTGGTTACAAGCTGCATGCTCTCGTCGCAAGAGGAACAGTGTGAAGTCCGGGGCACGGCCAAGCTGCATTCTGTTCTTTTCCAGTCTCCTCTTGAGATTTTGAGCACATTCACACATGTGCCCATCATGATTTTCAAACCACTGGGTACAGGTCTCGAACCAAATCACAGTTGTCCATGTGGAATCCAGTGCCTTAGCCACCATGCCACCTATTGACCTTGCTTCTTTTTTTTCCTGAGAGATGTTTGCTGTAAGGTGTGTGCACTTGACAGAGAGACAAAAAGAAAACAAGAAATCACCACCACCACCACCACCACCACCCCAGAGAGATGGCCACACTGCAATCCCTTCTCCTCCATTCTCCTCTTGGGACTTTGGTCATGTGCCCAGCATGAGTTTGAAGCCTCTGGGTCTGGAACTCAAACCACAGTCAACTATGTGGGAATCCAGCAATGGAACCATTATGCCATCTGCTCATCCCTGCTTCTTTCTTTCTTTAAGTAATTTTTTTCTTTTGGAGTAGTTTGAAATTTACAGAAAAGCTTCAAATACTGTGCATGGAGTTCCTGTATACACTGTGTGTACAGGATTTTGCTGTATTTTACATTAATGTCCTTTTACTGTTTCAGACTACCACGCTGACCCCCCGATTAAATTATCCTTCTCAGTAACTGTATGTGAAGATCCATGTGTAACTAACTGTCTTTGTTCTGCCTTTCCAACAGTGTTCTCTGATTTTAAGGACTTGATTGGCCAGATTTTAATGGAAGTGCTAATGATGTCCACTCAGACTAGAGATGAAAACCCATTTGCCAGTCTGACGGCCACATCACAGCCAATTGCAGCGGCAGCTCGGTCACCAGACAGGAATCTGATGCTAAATACTGGCTCCAATCCAGGAACGAGCCCCATGTTCTGCAGCTTGGGTTCCTTCAGTGCCAGCTCTTTGTCTAGGTCAGTGTGGCTCTCTGCATATCTGGTTGGTAGTGAAATAGCCATGACAGTGGTAGGAGAAGGGAATGTCTACATACTGTTCATCCGTGTCATTCAGATGATGGTGTTTATCATATTTGGGACTCTAGATTTAGTCATTGAAAGTGGTATTGTCTTTTCTAGATTGGATTTTTTGGCTTTCCATGTTTAGGCTATTGGTAGATGAAATTTTAGAAACAAGTAGCTATGTATACTACATTATTCTTTGAAAACAGGGCTTTTACCCTATTGTAACTCTAGATCAGTATAGCAATTAGATTATGATTATATATAACCTATCTTATGATAGATCTATAGACTTGAAGTCCCTGAGGTCGGAAATGTGATTAAACTATTTTTTAAAAGCTTGATATTTTTCCATTTTAGTTAGTTGTCTCAAGTTTTTTTTTCTGATTTTCTCTTTCTTTCCTCCCTTTCTCAATTAATTTAGCCTCTATGAATCTAGTCCAGCTCCCACTACCAGTCTCTGGAGCTCTGTGCCAGTGATGAATCCATCTTTTGCCTCAACTTCCCGTGCTGCCAGCCAGACGGCTGTGCCTTCTACTTCCCTCAGTCCACATAGCGCGGCTTCTGGAACTGCTGCAGGAAGCCAGCCCTCCTCTCCGCGGTATCGCCCCTACACTGTCACTCACCCGTGGGGGTCTTCACCCTCACCTGCCCCGCGGGCTTCAGGCATATCCATTCTTTCCAGCTCCCCAAGCCACCCTGCCCTTGCTAGTAGCCCCCAACCAGTGCCTGCCAGCAATTCCAGACCCAGGCCCACCAGCATGGGGCCGCCTTTACCGCCCGCCTCACCCAGTGCCCTGAGCAGACGTCCCTCCTCGGATCTCTCCTAGGTATTTATTCAGCAGGAGAGTCGCGTGTGTGTGTGCAGTGCAGGGAAAGGAGATTAACATGTGGTAGAAGGACTGCTGTGTACCACTGACCTCAGTTAAATCTTGTTATTTCGGGTTATTAACTGTGTGGCTAACCAGTCTCATAGACCCCTGCCCCACGTCCCTGCTCCTGCCAAGCTTTGATCCCATCAGGAAGTATGGGTTGCTTTATCATGAGTCCCTTTCTCCCTTCATTTCCCTCACTCTTCCTCTTTTCTGTACAAAAAGAAAAGAAACAAAAGAAATAACTTTGTTTTTAAAATCTAATTCACGTGATTCCTCATTAGAAATGAATTTTGGTCAGTGTTGTATTTGAGAGCTGGGGCTCTTGGGACCCCTTTTTGACTTTTGTACTGTTGCCAGTAAATGAACTGCAGTCAGTCCAAGGGGTTGTGGGTGCAAAGCTGGGCCTGGTGTCCTATACTTCTGGTGAGGGGGGCTGGGTCAGTGGTCATGCCTGGATACTTTGATTTTTGGTTGCATATAATTTCACCCTCTTAGAAAGAAGTGGTACATCCCATTAATCTGGTGGCCCCTTCTCTCAAATGTACCTACCTGTTTCAGTAATTTCAGTGACTTACGTTTCTGCATGTCAGTGAACAGAACTTGTAGTGCAAGATTTATTTAAAAGGCCAGCAGTTGTAAAAACTTCTCCCCTTCTTGTGTTTTCTTTGTTCCCTGATGACGTTTTTTGCTTTTGTTGTGGTAGTATGTACGACAGTCCTTTCTCCTTCCTCTTCCTCGCACTTTCTGGGGACAGTAGTGACGAAGATGATGAAGATGATGATGATGGTGATGATGAAGGTGGTGGTGGTGGTGGTGATTTTTCTTGTGTCCAGTTTGGGTCCAGGTATCACAGGAATGGAGCCTTACCCCTGCATGTGCATAGGTGCTTAGGAACTAACTTTCATAAGCCCTAACAAGGGGTATGCTTTGGATCCGAGCAGGAGAGGGTCAGTTGAGGTGGGCTAGACTCTATTGAAGTGGTAGGACTTTCTCTCTTGGGAGAAAGTGAGAAATCCCTTTTAAAAAGTTTTCACGTAGGAAAACTTTTGTTGCTGTTCTGATAAATGCAGAGGGAACTTTACATATAATCAGTTGTCAAGATTAAGAAGATTAGTCATTAGTCAAGATTAGTCATTAAATTTATCCACCCTTAGATCTAAAACGCGGGACTCTGCTTATCTCTTGTGAGATGTCTCTGTGAGTGCCTGAACGTGAGCCACGGGTCGTCTGCCAGCCACGCATCCTGAAGTGCAGGTGCATGGATTGCTGCCGAGGGGCTGGCACTGGGGCTGAGTGTGTGCGTGTGTGTACGTGTGTGTGCTCTTGGCACCCACTCCTCCTTCCCCCCATCAGGCTCTGTCTGGGCAATCCATCGAGTAACAGGATTACACTGGTATATTGGTGATTCTGATTTCACTTCTAATCTTCCATTTCTCTCAGGACCTCCTTGGGCTCAGTGAGGCCAGACCCTATTTGTTTAAAGAGCTTTCAGAAAAGGAATGGCACAGAGGCTAAAACACAGTCCATGGTGGTGCTGAACATTCACCCTGAAAACTGAGCGGAAAGTATTAGTTGGGTTTTCTAGGTGACTTTGGGCAAGAAAATATTATTGCACCTTCTCTCTAATCCTCTGACTCATTGTCTTACAAGTTTGCTCTTAAATCAAAGTTTCCCCTGGATGGAGTTGGTATTTATGCCCAGCACTATTCAAAAATAACTCCAGGCTATAAATAGAGACCGCAGTAGGAGTTGGGTACACTTCATTAAATTCGACAGTGTTCAGAAGGACCATTAGAGAGAGAGGAATGTGGTTGCAAGGTTGAACATTGATTCAAGAATGTTGATATTTGTGTTAGGGTGAACATTATATCACTATTTCTCAAGGTAGTTTCCAAAGGTGGAAGTGTCTTTTTCATGTAAGTAAACTCTGATTGTGTGGTTATAGTACAGCAGACATTCTTCATAGTCAGTTTCCATACCTGGTAAAAGGACCTGTCATCTGTTTATCATAAATTACTGTGGGAGAAATGCTTTCTCTTCCTGGCCTATTTAATTCCACCTTTCTTTGATAGCAGGTTGTATGCTGATTTCATTAATACCACTCTTTCTAGATTTCTAACCCCACAGTCTTGCCATAGATCTAGATTCTGGACCCAATAGGAGAGAGAAAACTTGCTGAGTGTGTGGCAAGAGCTGCAGAGACATATTGACCATCATGCACCAGATGCTGTGTCCCCACTTGGTGCCTGACTCCCTTGATCCATCACTGTAGCGTTCTGGGAGGAAATGGGGTACAGAGAAGTGAGCCACCTGACTAGCAGTGGCAGAGTCTGGAGGCAGACCCAGGCAGCTTGATTCCAGAGAGCTCGCATTCCTCACCACCACACCTCTGCCTTTTTCATTTTTTGCCTGAACAAGGCTGTGTTGTTTTTGGTGCTCACTAGTTCTCTCACTGCTGTGAATCTGCGCGTCTTCTCTGTTCCTTGGCAAGGGAAGTGCCAGCATTTTAGCCCTTAATTACAAAATTCCATTCCAGTCAGTTGGCATGTCCCTTATTGACTGATATAATGAAATATCTTCATCCAGATTTTGGCAACTTAAAAGTTCTTAATAGATATCAAAAGGAATATAAGGGAACCAGCAGTTAGCATAATGGCTATGTCGCTGGACTCCCACGTAGTCGACCGCGGTTTGCGTCCTGGACCCGGTGGCTTAAAACTCACGCCGGGCGCGTGTGCGTGCGTGCCCAAGATCCCGAGATGAGAATGGAGGAGAAGGGATTGCAGCGTGACCATCCCCCCCCCCCGGGGGGGTGATTTCTCGCTTTCTGTCTCTATGTCTCTTTCTGTCTGTCTGGCGAGCACACGCGCCCTATAGCGAAAACCTCTCAAAAAAAAAAAAGAATATAAGTGGGTAGATCAAATCATGTAACTCTTTCAACAAATAGAACTTGAGAATGTATGCAGGGTCAGAACCAGGAAGAGGTAGCAAAAAAATACTGTTAATCCCAGCAATCAGCAAAGAAATAGTTTTTTCCTTCCCCCTTCCTAGTTTATATTTCCACAAATTTATTTACTCTGAAGTAATTTCACTACCTCCTTCTTGCCTGGTTAGATTAATGGCAGAGAAGAGGGAGTCACCAGGGCTCGTATCTCTGTCTTGTTCACACTGTACGGTGGAAGCAGTTGGGACATACACTCAGGTTACTTATTTATAGTGGTCATGATAAGGATCGATTGAACAAAGGTAAACCGTTCCTTCTGTAATGTTTTATGTTTTATAGTCTTCTGTGAAAAGAATGATATGAGTTATAAGGAACTGCTCCTTGGGAGACTAGGACTGATAGAATTATGCCACGGTAAGGATACTATAGGAGTATAGCTGAGGAAAAGTTTTCTTTTTTTTTTTTTTCTTTTAGATTTTTGCCATAGGATGTGTGCACTTTACCAAAGAGAGACACAGAGAGAAAAGCAAGAAATCATCCCCCAAGGTGAATGAGCTTGCTGCCATCCTTTCTTTTCCTTTCTCTTGGGATCTGGGGCACACATTCATATGTGCCTGGTGTGACTCTCAAGCCACCAGATCTGGGACTTGAACTGCGGTTGGCCATGTAGGAATCTAGCACCTTAACCACCACACCGCTTGCTGGCCCCAGAAAGTGTTTTTAATTGTTTCCTAGGAAATTGATGACTATGAAGAAATTTTTAAAAAGCCTGCTTAGATATTTTAGTAGACAAGGTGAAATCTTGAACATCGTGAGGCTGTGTGAGTAGAGAAAGGGAAAATTAGCAAATAATGAAAAACAGTGACGTGCACCCTCTTGTTTCTGCTGGTCGTCACTGTTCGGGAGGAAACGTGGAAACTGTGGAAAAGGAATCCTCCTTCTGCTGTATCTTCCTTCAAAACCTTCCAGTGATTTTCTTTCTCACAGAGTCAAACCCAGAGCCTCTCATCGTGACCCACGAGGCTCTGCATCTCACATTCTCTAAATGTGCACGCACACACACACTCACACACACTCGTCTTCCTCTACACGCCTACGTCTTCTAGCTCGTACGAAGGACTCCTGTCCATTTTCTC